GTGGGCTGTTTGAAGCCTTTCTTTTCGATACCTTTGAAAATCGATTGACTGAGCCCTGAAACACACCGATGTGTAATCCGTCAAAAGTTAATTGGAAATATTAATTCCGTTACAAAAAAAAAAAACAGGCTGATGAGCATGATACAGTGGAAAGTACCCTGCTGTCGTGGAAATGGCCGACAATTCAAATGCAACAGTGCGGCAACCAATCCCACTACGATTCATTCATTCGTTTCGATGGTAAATTGGTACTGACATATGCACAAGTGATCAAAATCGCTGTCAACCTGCTTCTAAGCAATCCTTGAAAGAGCGAGCGCCACCGATAGCCTTGCCAACGAAAAGTTGCTGTTATCACTGGCTATGACTCAAGTTAACCGCCGAAAATCTTCCTTTCTCAGAACCAGTAAAACGTGGAGCAGTTACATCAGGAATGGCATTTTTCCGAAATCAAAAAAGCCGAAATTTTTTAAGGAAAAATAAACATACCCATGGCTTGCCAACCGCCAGCCCGTCGCTGCTTCCTGTAATGAGCCGCTCGTAGCTCATCATAGAAGCCTTCTGCGTCCGAATCGTGTCCTGACGCCATTCGCACGCCCGAAAATACCACGCACGCACAGTCCAGTAATTCAAAAGTGGGTAATTACAATAACTCGGCTCGGCTCGTCTCATACACGAGCTGCAAAAAATTTTTTCTCCCGAAAATTTATTTGAAGGGATGTTTCCTGACAGTCATGGCGGCCAGTCTGAAATTCTTTCAGCTAGAAGCATCTGCCGGAGAAACCGGTGCTGTTAGCGACAAAAACCTGCAGGGAACTGTGTAAAAAACGTATTTTCGTACGGGCAGTCCATGCATTGGCCAATTATTGTAACTGCCCAAAAGTGCAGCCAAGTACTGGCAGACCGCCACGTACGTGAGACCTGGCACAGCGCTAAAACCCTTGATGATATTGGGATAGGTTGGGAGGTGAGTTGCGATGATTATTGTGCGCCCATTTGGATGGGGGCTTGAAGGTGAAGGTGGGAGAGGGGGGACATGGGTGATGGCGTAAAGGTGCGAAGGGAGGGGGGCAGGAGTGGGG